GGGTAAAATGAAATTAATAAAATTAAAATCTATAAAAAAAAAATTTATTAATATATAATTTAAAGAATGAGGTTAAAAATTTGTGTTTCTACTGACAAATTTTAAAAAATATATATCAAAACATTAGAAGGAAATATATTATATAATATTAATTACGAGAAAAGAACCGTTGAAATAAGCTGAAAGTATGTAGACGTGTGTATATATGCTGCAGTATTTTTAACGAGGTCATGCATCCAGTTACATACAGTGCATGTATATACACACATATATTTATATACGTGATGCAGTATTCGGAATGAGGTCATCCAGGTGCAGGATTGTTACGATCCGTTTTTTTTTTTTCTTTATGTAAGTAGTTGCATGATATTCCTCCCACTTGCATGCATGTGTTTCTGCTCTCATCAACCCTGGTTGCATTCCTTTTCACTCCTCCCTAATAATCAATTCATATATACATATATATATGTATGTATGTATAGAGAGAGATATGTGTGTGTGTGTGTGTGTGTATAATATATATATATATATATATGATTCAAGCAGAGGGCTGGATATTGTTGGAGGCGCCTCGATTTTAGGATGGCGTCACATGAAGGCACGTTCTCCACGAAATTGCGACACCCTACGCGGGGCTTCTGTTGTTGGCACCGCGTTTTCAGTGCTCGGGGGCCCAATCATCTTTCTTCCCTTCCTCCTTACTTTTCCATTTACCCTTTCTTATTATTACTATTATGTATATTTAATGCAACATAATTATCAAAACTGTTTTACACACACACACATATATATATATGAACATTTATATACGTATATATGCAGTTTATATTGCAAGTACCAACGATATACAGCCTCCTTTTTCAAAAAACCAAGGTATACAGGCAGCCTCACCTCACTCCCGAGAGTCACTTTGTTTCTCGCTCGCTTCATATATATATTCTATGTATTTTTATTTTACACAACAAAAATAAATCTTACGGTCATATTGGTAACTCAAGTTATATTATTTTTACATATAGAAAATGAAAATATCTAATTATTTGGATACATATAGTTCCCGACCATCACTTATATAGATACACTATAAGATATTGACTGATGCTTGCCCAGAGGGGTATGCATCCAAACGCACATATCTACTCTACGTTTATATACATATGTATATAGACATATATAGAATCTATTTCAAAAGTGAAGTACTGACCGAGGTGAACTGGGGAGGGGGGGGGGGGGAGAGGTTTAACGTGTATATAAAATTAGAAAGAGGAGATTAATTAGCTACGTGACTGAGTAAATATATTTAATTTCTGAAATTGCAGGGTGTAATTAATAAGCGTTGGGGTAGATAGATGCATGCATATTTGATAGTCATTAGGTAGAGGTAGGTGTGAAGGTGTGACATCTTGCGATATTCATCACGTGTTTTAGGGTCATTCTTATTATTATTTTTTAATAATAAGAAACCCATTTTTTAATTACTCGTGGAAAAATAATTAGCAGTAATTAACGAAGCAATATATGATCGTGTCTGTATTTTATAAGATTAGTATGGCCTATCTGGGAAATTAGTTATCTAAATTAATTGTCACAATATGTAATACGTGAATTTCGCCACCTTTTTTGACGAACATGGTTGTATTTCAATGGATAATTGACTAATTGTGACAAATTGCTAATTTCACTGTGCGGTGCGCACAAAAGTGGGAGCCAACAAAAATCTGAATCGCCGTCAAAAAATTTAATAAAAATTAAAAGACTTTGGTTCCTTTTAATTATTGAATTTTAAATCAATCAGGCCACTGCCCACGTGAGCTCAACATACACTGAACCGGGTGGTGGAGCCGACCGACGGTGCGGCCGCGTAAAGTCGTAAATAGGTTTAAAAAAAAAAAAGAGAGAGAGAAACTGACGGTCGAAAAATAATGAAGTGAGAGTCGAGTAAGCCACCTTGTGGGGTCAAAGTCGTGGACGGTCAACTCCACAGACGTTGTGCAGCCCTGTGGAAGTGATACGGGACCCATTTGGCGACACCCACTTTAGCCCACCATGGTTGGTTTATGACGCACGGGTTCTCCGGTGATTTTCCTCCACAGACGGACCCAAATTGCAAATTCCTTAAAGATTTATATGAATCTTTTTGAAATTAGGTTTTTTGACCATCCCAGCCTCGTGTGGTCTTAAAACAATGAATTTGACACACCCCCCCCCCGGCAATTCAAAACTACACAAATTGAAGAGGAAGAAAACAAAGAGTTAATTAGTAGCTATTTCTGCGAGCGAAAGAGCGAGGGAAGCTTCCTATTCGGGCACGTTTAAGAGTTAAAACCCGTTGACAAAAGTAGCAGCCATCAGCCGCCGGTCAATTTCGTGTTATTGTTTCCCTTAAACTGTATAAATAAATATAATATGAGTTGGGTATATAAATCACACACATTATAATTTATAATGTGCGATCACATGGGGTTGAATTGGATTTGTTTGTCTTGTCCAATTTACATTAACAGAGATTTTGTATTATTCACTTTTCTTAGATGAGAAGAAGTGGAGTTGATGGACGCCTACCGAGTAAAAGCGAAATAGTGATCGGAATCCCAACCAAGGGCCAAGAAATTGTCAAACAATAATTTATATATACATTTTTTTTTTCCGATGGTAATATTGCTTGCTTAATTCATCAGATATGAAAAAAAGCAATGATGTGATAGCATATATATATATATATATATATACACGATACAAATGTATTATAATGCTTAACAACTTAATTTGACATAATTGATTAGAAGCTTAAAAGTAGATTGTGTATATATATGCCCTAGATTTTTTTTTGGTTTGGAGACTGATTTAATGGGTGAACTTACAAAACCCTACTTGATTACAGATTAGAGAATTATATAAATCTCTTATCCCACCTTACTAAGATTTGGTGCCAGCTCGTACCTTTTCTCAATCACCCATATGAAATCTAGAAAACATACATATATATATATGTATGTATGTATGTATGTATAATAATTGAACTATTTTCAACGAAGTGTAATTGAGACTATGCTTAATTTCGTTATCATTGCAATGGTTATGGCTTTGGGTTTCATGTCGGCGGATTATAAATGGGACCCAAAATGATCGTTGCCCCCATCAACAATGATGAGCTCCTACCATCAACTTTTTTTTTAAAAAAAAAATTCCAAATCAACATTTTATAATATATATATATATATATATATATATATACATATATAAGATGAATGAATAAAGTCATTGGGTAACACACATGCATATATACATATATAGGTTGAATTTATACACCGAGACCTCACCAAACTCTAGGGTAGGAAACAACCATCTCAAGGAAATTGACTTTAATTTATTAGTACACATAAAATATATATACTTGGGTGTGTGTTGATTTATTTTATAATCAAGCTTCGTCTTTGTATTATATATATATATATAAAGGAATTACCTTTGCCTGAAATTTGTGTTCCATGTTTCAATATCTTTCAATTTTAAATTTTTCATTATTAATAGCATAGCGAGATACGAAATTGACATTCATACGTGAAAAAATTATATAATTCCCAATAAAAGAAAAATATATATTTTTTATTAAAAAATTAAATAAATATTTATTAAAAAAAGGGTTCTAAAATTTATTGTTTTGCAACAATTATTTTGTTTATTAAATGGTGGGTCAATGTGAACCAGTAAGATTGTGGAATTGTTGCATCAGAGGTTAGGCCGGGCCCTTTTTATTACGGAGTTACTTTCATGGTCCAATATGAAGCAGCGCAGGAGCGACCATGGGTTGGCTAAGCGGTCAGTTTGGGCCATCTCGCATTTGAAGTTCCCATGGGCCGGCCTTTTTTGCCGATTGCTAGCAATGGCGGTTGGTGAGGGAAGAGGGTGCGATGGACACACTGCCTAGAAATAAGCATTACTTAATTATTTGTTTAGACAATTAATCAGTCAGCCAGGCGAGAGAGATCTAAACAGAAATTCCAAATCATTCGCAGATTTTAAAACGTACAATGAATTGAAAATTGAAATTCTTCTGAGAAATTTGGGTGATGTCAGACATGTGAGAGAACCCATTTGGCATTGAACACTAATTCATTTCAAATAATTATATTTTTGTATAATTGCAAATTACAGTTAATATTTTTATAAAAATATTCAAATTCATTTTATTCTCGTTTAAAATAAATTAATCATATTACTTCCTACCTTAAATTGAATACAGATTTGTTTTTGAAATCCAAATAATAACTTCAAAATTTGAAACAATCAGATCGTGAGAGTACAACAACACTCCTTAATAGATTAAACATTAATCACACTAATCAAGTAATTAGTACAAAGAAAACGCTTGATTCAACTAAGCTCGAATCCTCAAACCCATCAAAAAAAAAAAAAAATCACATACAAATCATCACAACCCCCCCGCCGCCGTCAACAACTTACATTCAACTCATCTCCTGCATCTGGTTATGGCGGAACAACCTCTCGTATATGGATGCACAGGCCCTCTGGCTTTGTAGCAGTTATGAGTGTAATAAGACCTTCCGGAACGTGGTGGACATGGGATTCGGTTAGCAGACAGAGCTCCGTACGAAATGTAGTATCGGACCCTTCTCCAAAACAGAGATCGGCGACCGAACTCACCCTCATCCTCCTCTATCTCCCCGTTTTCTCCTTCCAAATCGTCAATGTCGCTGTACAGAGACATAGCGAGTGGCCAATCCAGTGCGTCGCCGACTAGTTTCAAGCTTGTCTCGTCGAGGTGAGCCTTGGCTTTCGAGCTCAAGAGCGACAGGGCAACAATAGCAGAGAGGATGAGGATGAGGAGGAGCTTGGAAGGTGAAACGGCCATGGCGGTCAGAGAGGGGGAAGATCGAGGAAAGCAGATAAGAAATAAGAGGAGAGAGGGAGGGGAGGGAGGGAAAAGCTGGGATGGAAGTGAGAGGAGTCGGTGAGGGAAGGAAGATGATTGGGTTACAGCTGTGTCTTCATAAATGCACCATTTCAGGGTTGCATCGATTCTGGACATGTTGTCAGTGGGTAATGATTGTATGCTTGACTATAATGAGCATACCCTTAGTTGCGAAATGTTTGATCCTCTAGTTTAGACCGTCGGATTGATTTCTCGGTGGGGTCCAGTGCTATTTGCGAAATCAGAGCGGCGAGTACAGGGGATGTAAGATGAGCATAGAAGTAAAGTGTTGTTTGTAGTGTTTTAAATTTGGGCTTATCCTAAAAAAATAAAGAGACATGATGGACGCCCTTAAAAGACGGTACCGGTCCAATGTGTTGGCATTTTAAGTGACCCTTTCACCGTTTGTTTCTTTCTCTCTTTTTCAGAAACTTTCAATTAAGGCATCATCAATTATTCGCTTTCTTGCCTCTCAAAAAAAAAAAAAAAAAAAAGAAAATTCAACCCTTCAAATTTTTTAAATTATATCAAAGCTGATGATTTTTTAAATTTTACATAAAATTTTCTTCATGGGGTTAATTTTTAATGACTTTAGTTATGATTCTAATAATTTTTTTTTTTAATTAAAATACATATAAACATTGATATATAAGTGGTAAATGCATTCTAATTATAACATCACTCGTTATATTATTATGATCTAAAAACAATGCTTGGGATTGTTACGTAAACGTTGGACTTCCCAACTGGGAATCTGAGCTACGAGGACTCGTCAATAATGGAGAAAGCAAAGGCCCAAATTCACAAATTTTAGGCCTAAAAACCCATTTTTAATCCCATAGAATATTACTAAAAGTCGATAAATTTATTCTCAAAAAACGAAAGGAAAGAAGAAAGAATTCAGAACACACACCCAGTGGGACTCGAACCCACAATCGCCTGATTAGAAGTCAGACGCCTTATCCATTAGGCCATGGGTGCCTGTTGTTCCGGGCGCAACTTTGAGTTTACAGCTTTAAAACTCTGAGACAATTTCATATACAGATTATATATATCTTACTGGATTTACTGTATCATGATCCGTTGGACCTTATTGTGTGGAAGTAATAGCGTACGTCACATTCTTTGCAATTGTAATTGAATGATTAGGTATATGTATATAGTATTATGAAGACATTGATGAATCTAAAATCTCCCTCATTCTCTCGCCCAACCTTATTTATATTAGGGCCCTTGGATTCTCTCCCCCGAATTTGGTCGACATACATATACGTACATACATAGAGGAAGAAGATACAGATTTCTGTGCATTTGTATTTATGACACCGATGGATCAGCTCATACGACCAGTTAACTCGTGACAAATCATGACAACTGGTTTGATAAACTCAATCATGACAAGCCTCTACCATTATCTCCTCTCTGTTTAATTTCCTTGTGGTCCAGTTCTTGACTTGCGCTTATTATTATCATCTCTACGTGTATGTATAAATATATACATATGGAGATTCGTCATCACCATGCCAAAATTTTCAGATAAAGAGAAGCAGCCTCCCAACAACATTAGTCAAACTCGCAAACTGGATAAAAACCCAAATGGACCTGATAACGATTCGACTAAAAAGAATAGATTCTTGATGGAAAATGGATAGAGTCTTCGAGAAACTGCATCCCCAGTTAGCTTGAGTTACTGCGCAGTTGACAAAAAATGATGGTTTATATATGTATTTAATATATATTTGTATAGATATGTATAAAGAGAAGGTACCGTGGATAATGATGAAGTAGTGCATATAAAGCAAATCCTAACAAAAGGTAGATAAGTCAACTTTTACGTAAACATTAATTGTCAACCCCAAAGAGCAGCGAATACAAATTTCAAAGACATAAACCCTTCTTTGTCTTTTTCTTTTTTCTGAATATGTTCAAACTTCAAAGCTTCCTCTCCTCGATCTGTTAATGCTAGTTTGTAGAATTCAAGTGAGACAATCTGAAAAGATGAACAGCTACAGTGGCTTCTGGGTCTTATGAATTTTAAGGTAATAAGTACCATAGCTAGTTAGTAATTAATAATGAATGCATGGACGGATCCGATTTATTTTAAAAAAAAGTTATTGTGAAAGGGAGAGGAAATAAATTATATTGGGTAATTGGACCACTTGTTATTTTCTTTGGTCCATGAGACAGAAGGCAATGAGTAAGGATAATATATAAAAATAACAATAATAGTTTTTATTCATTCATGCAGAAATTTCAAGTATTGGAAGAACCTTGAGTGTCAGTACCCAGGCAACCATGTGCGCTGATAAAATTCTATACATATAGCTTTATTATAATATGTTTTTTTTGACTTGTATAGATACATTTTGACGTACCCAGTGAAGTTAAGTTTAAAAAATTCACTGCATGCGTTATAATTGATATACAAACAGAGAAGAGAAGGTAGAAGAATACAAAGGAAGAAAGCAAAAGATCAGGGAGAATATGTAGAGAGAAGATATGTTGGAATTTAATTATATATTGATCGAACGATGCCATATGGATTTATCTGGAGTCTCTAACCTTTTTTCTAAGTGCCCTTCTGAAATATTTTAATAAAAAACCAAGTAAGAACTGACTCCATTAACAAGGGAGGCCCTACAATATACATTCTCTCAACATTTTAATACTAAGAAGATAAGGTGGTGATGCCCAATTGGACAACTTCCATGACTATAATTCAGAGTAAAGAAAAGATCCAACCAAACAAAAGCATTAACATCTTCTCTTTTAAAACTTTTTTATTCACGCAGTCTCGGTCAATTCTCTCAAGCAAAGATCAAGTTTTTACAAGTACATATATATATATAGGTACCTTTTTATATTGGTACAATGCATTTAAAATTTTATTTCCATAATATTAACAGCATATATCAAGAATTTTACTTCGAGGATGTTACTAGACCAACTATATATGCAGACACACATACACACTCATATATATATCTGTGTGTGTGTGTGTGTAAATGTGCGCGTGTGGAGGTGTGAGGTTTTGTGTGTATATATATATATATACACACACACACTCATAGGACGAGAAATTCTTTGTTTTGATGAGATGCTGTTGATAATTATGCACGAAGACGTGAAAACTGAAAAGGGCGTTGTGCATTGGCAAGAACAGTTACCATAAGCAGCCAAAGAATTATTGAACAGTTGACAGTACGTACACTACATATATATATATATATATGTATTTATGTGTATGATACAATATAGATAGATAGAGAGAGAGATCCGGTCTAGTGTACTTGCAATTGGCGGTCAGTCTCTAGGCTCTGCATCACCGTCATTTTCTAATCCTTATTGAAAAGCGTGACCATTACAGAACAACAGTAAGAGACCAATCCTGCAACGTTCCAGAGATATAGCATACACATATATATAACTATATTTAAACCCTTACTAATACATATATATATAAAATTACCGCAGTATTGTAGGTCCCATCCCCAAATCAACCCTACTGTTGTCGTGATCTTGTGAACTATGATGCTGTTTAAAATGGTTTCGTTGTTCAGTTTATATATCAACAATATTAAATCAAATGTATATACTTACACCAATTTTTTTCTTTGTGATCTATGGAGTCTTTTTAAAATTTAATAAAATGTTGTCATATAATTTTGTGTTAATCATCTTATATGCAAAGTGATGGCCGTACATATGTGTATAGAAGATATATACTTTGAAAGTATATATATATATATGTGTGTAAACACATGATATATTAAAGCAGTAGAAATCATTAGAAATATTATTCAGGCAACTGAGTATCGGCCCCGGTGAAGTGGTAGTTCTGGTGTCTGACACACTTCATGTGATTGTGGGGTTTTCTCTACAAAGTAGTAAATATTTTAAGCCAAGCCAAACCAAACCAAACCACTTTCACTCCCCCTAAATTTTTTAAAAGAAGAAAGCGGTTCATCGTGCATGAACCTTTGTCCAAAATCTCAGCCCTTCAACTTGTGGACCAGTTAGCAGGAATGGACTCTTCTGACCCTCTGATTTCACACACGTGTTGGGTTTTAATTATCGCGAACCAGATCAGACGGTTTACATTTCTTTTATATTACTTAAGTAGCCCCCACATAATGGGCGGTCTCCATCATACATCATAAATTCATCATAAATGAATTCGTGAAAGTAAATATATATATATATATATTGCCTCACAACTTGCTATATAAAGCGTTCCATTTCCTGCAAGCTTTTAGCTCATGCATGCTTTCTTCTTCTCTCTCCTTTATCTTACTGAACAAAACTGGTAAAGAGGAAGGAAAAAAAAAAAACCCTAATTCCACCAAACTAATTTACAGCTTTTCTTTTTTTTTTTCTTCTTCTCTGATCATCTGTGCACCGCCATCCCTCTGTCACAGTTGATCATCTTCTCAGGTTATCATCACTTGCCCATCTTTTCCGTCTGAGTTGATCGAGTGTGAGAATCAATGGATGTTGACATGATAAATTCATCACCGTCATCAGTTGCAGCAGAAGACCACATGGAAATCATGACAATGATGATGCAAATGGAAAAGCTTCCTGAATTCTGTGACCTTAATTTCCACGCCAGTAATTCCTCTTTGCATCCCGAGATTCAATTCTCTACTTCTGGAAATACATTGCAGCAGCCAATATTTCAACACCCGAATACCAACATCAATCCGACTTCGTGTTCTTCTTCTTCCTCCACCTCGTCTATGTTGATAAATCTACCTACTTCTACATCTTTCATGGCCAACCCAGTTCCAGAAACGTCAATTAGCACTCACCATCTTCATCATCCCAGTGTACCCACGTCGGGAAAATTCAGATATGGAGGGCTAGGCCCATTGTTCTCTAACAATGCGAACTCGTACGCGTCGTCGGTTGAGAAGAAAAGCTCCATGGCTGCAATGAGGGAGATGATCTTTCGTATAGCGGCAATGCAGCCGATTCACATCGACCCGGAATCCATTAAACCTCCGAAGAGAAGAAACGTGAGGATCTCAAAGGACCCGCAGAGCGTTGCGGCTCGGCACAGACGGGAAAGGATAAGCGAGCGGATAAGGATTTTGCAGAGACTAGTGCCGGGCGGAACGAAGATGGACACGGCTTCGATGCTCGACGAGGCCATACATTACGTCAAGTTTTTGAAAAGACAGGTGCAGTCGCTGGAACAAGTTGCAGCTAATCGCCCGATGGGTTCGGGTCTCGGTTTATCGGGTGCAACCTTGGCTACGAATATGGGCTACTCGCCTTTGGTGAAAGCTTGCCAACCTTCTAATTCAGCTCATTATCATCATCAAGCGATGGGGAATATTCAGATGCTTAGATGAAATTAATGGAAATTTATGGGTTAATGTTGATTATTAATTGTGTTTTGTGGGCTAATTTGTAAAAAGTGGATATTTTTCACTTGGGTCCTTAATAATTAATTATTAGGTCCTATATGATTAATTAATCTTATCAATATATATGTTCTGTTTGTGTGACCTACCAAGCTAGCTTAATATCGTTAATCACCTTGTTTAATTTTAAAAGCTACGATTCCACAATTCGCACACCTCTGACTAAAGCACTCTTGAAGAATATCTACGTACTTGTATCTTAATTAACATAATTAATTAATTAATTACCAAATTTCTTCTCTCGTTAAAACTTAAGATTTGTAATTTTTAGTGGATGATTCACTTTGAAATTACGGATTACATACATGCATGTACGTACACATTGATCTATATATATATATATATATATGTCTATTAATTCAGAACTTGTTATGCATGATTCAGAGTGATGGAAAAAATATTTCATAGTGCAAATGCACGTACAAGAAAATCTAAATCATGGAGGTTGAGGTGATCGTGTACATGATTAATTTGGTGGTGATACATAGAGATAATGCACAATTAAATTTTAACATAACTTTACTTATAGTGCTAAGATTTTTATATTCGTAATTTGCTTGCGGACGATATTAAACATTATTATTATTATTTTTATATCCGTTTTGTCTTATACAATTTTATATGTTATAATCACTTTTGTCATATACTACATGATGAGTCTATTTTAATTGAGGAGGCTTCATGTTTGTTACCTCATTATATTCTCTTGTTTGATTAATAAATTTTAAATTATTCCGAAAAAAAAAATTCAAAATAATAAACCTAAATTGAGTTCGTTTTTTATTTAAAAATACATAAAGAGTTTATAAAAAAATGAATTAATACCAATAAAAATAGTATTACAAAATTATAAAATACGATTTTGAAAACAATACGATCTCGAATAAATTTACACAGGGTGCGGGTCAAGATGAGAAATAAGTCTCATCGCAGTTACTTTGAAGGCAATACGAAGTATTATAATTAATTATCGGGTGGATGACTTTGATTATATTTTAATGCATCAATAAATATACATACGATATGGTGACTTGGTATCTCGATAATAATCTTATTTGTTCTTTATCTTTTAATAAAAATTTTTATTTATCTCTAAAAAAAAATTCTCAAATAAATTTAATTTTAAATTATTTTAAGTAAGTCAATAAGATCCAAAATTATTATTTATGAAGATGACAGATTTAGGTATATCTTCTACAAATTGCAATTAATGCATGGTTGCATTATATGTCTTTTACATATTAATGAAATATTCACGTAAAACAAAAGAATATATACTTATGCAGATGTAGATAATACGAGTAAGTAAACGTTTTCTGCATAAAAATATATATATATATATTATAATAATTGAAACCATATAATATTGAATATTAATATGTAATTAATCATGAATCTAAAGAAAAATTATATTATCATAAAGTTTTTTTTTTTTTTTTTTTTTATTTGGACGTGGAGTGCTTAGATGAGAGCAGTTGGAGGGTAGGTTGCCTCCCAAGGCAGGGTCTAGTTGGAGTAATGTTCATGTCTCGAGGGTCATGCCTGATTCTTCACTAACACCCATTTCCCCTCATCCAACCAATATATATATATATATATATATATATATATAATCCAAACAAAGTCATACATACACACACGCATATAAATATATAAAAGAAAAAACAATAGTTAATTAAAAAATTATATAATTAATTAGTAATTAATTTCTTATTAAATTAGGGTGGGTCAAACCAAGCATCTATCAAAGGGAGAGAGGCATGTGAGATATCCCACTAAGTTGCCAACATGCCCACAAAGAGGCCTCGTTCGTAAGGGAAGGCTTAGAATTTTAAGACATCTTCATATCTCTCCCACCCAGCAGGTGCATTGTATCCTCTCCCTCTGACAGACACATTCTATCTTTCTTTTATATCATCTATACATATAATAATATTTTACACTCAATCAATGTATCTTTTTCTTTCCTTTTTCAGATAAGTTCTCATGTTCTTCGTGATAGGATAAAGTTTATAATAATATATTTTTCTTTCTTCCTTGTTTCCTCTTTTGGCTTTCTTCTGTGCTAGACTTCTACTAACATTTTCAACTTTAACACCTCATAACTCTTTTAATTGGTAATTGAGAAAAATTATTTCATCAAAAAAAAAAAAAATTCATGGACCAACATAATACAACTCTTTGCATTTATTAATTCAAAGGGTAAAATTTTTATTATCATAATTATTTTTAAAATGGGGAAATTAAAAAAAAAAAGGTTTACAAATTTATTCAAAATAAGTGAGCATTAATGGAGGTAGGAAGTCAAAGATGTTAGAAGAGAGGTGCACTAAATTTAGGAGAGGTGGGAACTATTAATGCTGCTGTGATACACAATGCAGGTTAGATGGTAGGGAGAAACCTCCAAATTTTTAAGTTTTATTTAATGTCAAGTCTGATTGGAACGAGAATAAAAATAAATAATTGGTTGTATTAATTTGAATTTCTGTATAATTTATTTTTTTTTTTTAAAGAGTAGGTGGAAATAGCACGTATACATACATATATATATATATACATGTTCAGATCTAAATATATACATATATATATATATTTTAGAGAGAAGTTGGAAGTACTCTTCCCTCTCGTCTTGTGTCCCTTATGCAAAGTGAAATGTACCGCTACTAAATTTGTTTTTGTTTTTGTTTTTTTTTTTTCCTGATATAATCCACAAGTCAATGACTTAGTTTGACTCGGTTTAAATCGGAGCGGGTTAATTTGATTAAAAGCGGCAGGCCTGATTTAATTTTTCAGATTTCTACAGGCCCAATGAGAGAAATCTGAAGGCCCACAAAACTTTGACTATGGGCTGTGCTCAGTCCGCACCGTTTCGAAAAACTTGGGCTTGTTTGTTTTTGGGTTAGCATTTGCTGATTAATTTTAAAAAGCTAATCTTAATTTATTTTTATTGAAAAAAATACAGAATATATGTTGGATATATAGACCATTGACATTGTTGCTTAATAAATTGTACAATTTAGAATAATTTTGTGGGGAAATAAGCTCTAGAGGATTTACAAGTACACACAGACACACATATATATATATATATAATTACATATTTTAAAATGTAGACTACATACAAATTACCAAGAGTTACATATTTTAAACTTTTAAGTTCAATGAATGGTGTGTTTTTAATAATCAATATATAAAATAATTAACGAAAGTATAAGAATATTTTAACTATTGATTTCAATTATTATAATAGACAAGAGCTTTACCGATTCAATGAATTTCGAATGAAATATTGAATAAACTATGGACATGTAATTAGTCTTTGAATGTTGTCACAATTTAATTTATTGTTCTTATAAGTTAAGATTCTATATGTAAACTTAAAGTTACAATACGTTTTTTTTTTATTTTTTAATTAAAATTTATACTTAAAATCTTCAATATTATTTTCAATCACCCAATACGTAAATTTTTATTTTTTCTTAAAAAATAATATTTTTTTAAAGATATTTTTATCAAAAATTAAATAAAAATATATTTAAATTTCGTAATATAAATTAGAAGCGCTCACAACATTGGTGGTACATATCATATGTAATAATGATTTTTTGAGAGGGGTTATATATAAATAATTTTGTTATTTAAATAGTTGTGGTCACTGTTTAAGGAGTAACTTATATTAATTATTATTATTATTATTATTATTGAGATAGTAAAGTAACCCAATTATATTGCATACATTAGACATGTATATGTTATTGACAAAATGGGCAAGCAAAACTTATTCAATTTTCATAAAAGTAAAAAATAAAATAAAAATTAGATTAGTACATACTAATGATTATTCTTTTTGAGCTAATTAATACTATATAACCATCATTATGATATGACTTTATTGGTACTTATATGGAATAAATTTGCCTACAACATGTCATTTACCATTCCAAAAAGATTTGCTTAACTAGCAAAATTCAGGTTTTTTTTTTTTTAAAAAAAAGAAAATTCAAGTCATTAAAAAATTACAAAATAAATTAATTTATTCAATAATTATTTAACTCGATAATAACTATTTTTATATATTTTTAAAAAAATTTAAATTTGAGTCGTATATTATATATTTCGTGTATCTTGTTGGAAACTACTATTTAATTAATAAAATATATAAATTATCATATAAAAAATTTAAATTAATTAACAACTTTTGATAAATTAAATTTTTTTAGATAAATATTTATCGATTCCACTATTACTTAGTTACAAAACATGTAATTCATATAAATATATAGAATTTGTAAATATATTTTGCCAAAGAGTTATATATGTGTTTTTGTGTGTATGAGTGTGTATAAAGAGAGAGAGAGAGAGAGAGAGAGAGAAATGAGAGATTTGTTGGTGGAAATTGAGGAAAGTGAATATATATATATATATATATACATGTAATTCATATAAATATATAGAGAGCCATAAAGAAAAATAAAAGTTTGTATATATATATTTTGCCAAAGCGTTATATATGTGTTTTTGTGTGTGTATGAGTGTGTATAAAGAGAGAGAGAGAGAGAGAGAGAGAGAGAGAGAGAGAGAGAAATAAGACAGATTTGTTGGTGGAAATTGAGGAAAGTGATATATATATATGTGTGTGTATGTATGTAGAATGACATACATATAGAGGAGAGAAAAGTAAGTGATATATATATATATCCAGCTCCATCCAACATAAGAAATTTAAGATTAACTTTTCTCTCTCAACTACCTATATAATTCTAGCTTAATCTTTTGAATTACTTCTTTTCCTCTCAACTACTCTGTTCTTATTTTAAATCAACACAAGCACACACATGTATATGTATATATATACTTCTGATATATATAGAGAAAAAGAAAAGCAGAGATCCCAAATAATTAGAGTGGAGTGTGTGCTCTCTCTCTCTCTCTCTCTCTCTCTCTCTCTCTCTTATCTTTTAGTATAAAGTTTATTACGAGCTATATATACGTGTATGTGATTAGATATGAAAAGTAAGCCTTCTTATTATCTTCCCTAGTTGCAACGCAGTTCAATATATGTTTATTGTTGACAGTAATTAAAGAAACTATATTTACTTCGTTTTTGCAAGGATTATATATTAATGAGTTTTTGGTGGGTCTGATTAATTATACGTGTTTTATATGTAAACATATGCATTTACATATATCTACGTTTGAAGGTCTGGAAGCATGTGAATGATGGCTATAGTTGGAGTTGAAGTTGGGAACAATCTGATAACATATGTGTTGAAGGAGATGCACTTTCATTTGTCAGCAAACGTACTCACTAACTTTATAGAAACTATCAAAGTCAGCACATATATATATATATATAAAAGTTAATTTTAAATTTCTTATGTTGGACGGAGCGGAATGTGTATATGTGCGTGTGTGTGTGTGTGTGTATCCCTCACTCTTCTGTCCTCTCTCTATTTATATACATCGCTCACTGAATTATATACGTATATGGATGTGTTGATATGCATATAACTCTTGTACGAAATGTAAATATATATATATATGGAAAGATTTGTTTCTCTACTCTTTTCTATATATATGTATACGGCACACAGAAGGGACCGAAAGGGAGGAAGCATAAGGGACGAGCTGGGGCACGATGACGAACGGGGACGCGAGGATGGCTGGAAGGGACGTTCTTTGCAACGGAGCTGAAGAAGGGACAAAGGGAGGAGAGCCGCAGTGTGAATGGGTTTTGAAAGTCCAGCTTCCACGCTCACAAAATTGTTTACACGTCATGCCACGTTGGCACACCGTATGACACCTCAGTGCAACACTAACAGAGTTAAATTTTTAGGACTAATTTAGAATATTTTAAAATTTTGTATAGTAAAAAGGTAACGGTTCAGAAATTTAAAAAAAAAAAACGTATATAAAGAATTATACGTGCGGAAGTGAAATAAAAAAGTTATGGTTAATATCTCTTACACAATAACTTAAACGTATTAACAATACTAAAAAAAAAAAACCATCTAAAGGAAAATACTAGAAATGAAAGAGTATAAAGGAAACTAATAAACATTTAGCCATCTACTCACCGTCTTCTTGTGGATCGAGTTTGGGAACCAAGTTCTCCTGATATGAAATTGTTAAGTAAGGAATGAGTTACACTAGTTCAGTAAAGACATCACACTATATCACTGCCACAGAAGTAAAGGTTGGTAGAAAATAAAAAATAACCAATGAAACATAAATTTTAAATAAATTCATTTATCAATAATCAACTATTTACCGTCTACTTACCTCAATGGGATTTATAAAAACGACTCATGGAAATAATAACATCATAGATATCATGAATTCATACCTAATCTGTAACGTAGCACATGTCATACTTTTATATTTCAATCATAAAACAACAGTTACCTTCTTTTTATCAGTTTACTAGCATCCGTGAGGATCCATAGAGGTCCCCACTACACGTGAACCATTCTCTTTACAAACTTAATTTTCAGGGTCGTCTCCATACCCCGTCTAGTATAGGCGCAAAATAATAAACCTCAATACTCTGTCCGGTATGAAGGTGAAGCAGGTCGTCCTCATACCCCGTCCGGTATAAGCGCCAAAACATTTAAAGTCTCCATACTCCGTTCGGTATGAAACAATATTCCCAGTAGGGTTTCATATGAACCCGGTCCATCCACCATCTCACAGGATATCTAGTGAAGCTGTCAACTTATCTATTTATCAATTCACCCCTTTTTTCTTATTTTTTTTCTCCTTAGTTCCGTTTCTCACATAAACATGAATACTTAAGCAAGCAACGAGCATCCAATAAGGCAAGCATATCATTATATTCACAAAATCAAACCGTAATGAAATAAACAGAGATTCATGCATTCAAAATTATAAAATAAATAAATCAAATAGCATAGTACATTTAGACTATAAAATAAATCAAACAGGAACTAACAGAAAAATATGTCCGGTTCGGGCTCTATTAGCAACCGTAATAAATTATGCATATATATTTAATTTATACAAATACAATTTTATCATTTATTAGACCGTGATAGGAAATAGGATGAAGGGTCCTTACCTGATTTGACGTCGAAAACCGAATTTTCACTGTGCCTACGGGCAGTCCCTAGATTTTTTGAATTTTTTTCCGGAAATTGAAACGCGCTTACGATATCTACACATGTTCCAAATAACTCAAAAATCAGATCTAGGGCCTATTCGGCCAATTTCAGAATTCCGGCACGGCGGCTCCGTCGTGCTCCAGCGACGGCACCGCCGCAAGTGGCGGCGATTTGCCTTGGGTTGGCTGTTTTCGACCGTTTTCGGCCGAATTAAGCCAAACTTGCATTGGTTCATGTGAGAAAATACCCTTAGGGCCCTCGATAGGCTGAAAAAATACCGAAAATCGAAATTTATCAGCGTCGGGGCTCTCCGGTGCGGCGGCTCCTCCGACTCGCGTCGCAATTTGGTGTTTTGCTCCGGTCAACCTGTAGAAGAGGGAGCGGTGGTCACAATGGTAGAAAAATTACATCGAACGGGAATCGGGAAGGGCCTCATCGGAGGCAAAAATCAAAAAAACCTGCGGCGACGCTGCTGGGCTTCGACGGTATTTTTTGGCTAATTGGCTGATGTTTTTGCTCCAATTTGGCCATAGGTGGGTTCAGCATCGAATTCTGATCCAAAAAGAGAATTTTTACCTCATTTGGCGGCCGAAAATTACTCCGGTGCGGCGGCCAGTGACGGCGATTGGTTCCCCGGCGGCTGGGCTGTCTTCTCCGGCGAGGAGCTCTGGTGGTTAAGGTTAGGGTTTGGGTGCGGATGAGATTATTTATAACCATCCGCTTTTAATTTGAGTCATCCATCGCGATTCAATATGCATCGTCCGATCGCGATTAAATAGGAAATGAATCTGAACTATTCATCGCGATGCAATCTGGGTCGTTCGTGCGCGATTCAATCTTGGCCGTCCGTGCGCATGGGAACGGATTTCAACCATTCGATCGCGCGCACGCGGATCGCCCAGGTAGCTCCTTCTGCGTGGCCTCCTGCGTCAGTGTCTCTGCCACGCGGCGTATCCTGATTGGTCGGGGCTGCTGACCGGGCTGTTGACATGACACAATTTTTTTAAATTACGTTTTGACCCCCAGTTTTTAATTTTCTTTTCAAAAATACCCTAAAACCCAAATTTTCACTTCTTTTTTTCAAAATTATTTTCAATTAAATCTTTAAATAATTTTTACCCCTTATTATTATTATTATTATTATTTCTATTTAAATAATTTAAATTAAATTAAATTTAATATATTATTATATAATAAATTATTATATTCATATAATAATTACAAAAAAAAAAAGGGTTGGGGTGTTACAAAAAAGGTTCTTTTATGTTTTAGTTTGTAAAATAAATTTAAATTATCAATAAACTTAGTACATACATTTAGTAATAGTTTTATAAAATATAGTTTTCTTCTGTCATTTGCTGTAAAATTATATCAACAAGACTACCCATAATGACAAGGAGCTGAAATTATACTCCTTTTTGTTAAAATATATACTTATAATAAAATATATTAACTTGATAGTAAATATTTGTATTTTTTTTTATATAAAAAGATATATTCAATTCATAAACTGTGTATTTTATATGTTATTATTAATAAGTTATTTTTATTGATGTGTATTTATTATTTTATTAATAAAATACATAAATTTTTATTAAAAAAATAAATTTATACTCAAGAGATACATACATCAACCAAACCAAAAGTAGTCTTTTAATATATATATATATATATATATATATATATATATATATATTAAAAAAATAATAATAAATAACTAATTAACCAAATACTATTTTAACTTCCATGATTATAGGTAATGTCTGCATTCTTTTGCCTTCTATATAAACTGATCTTCTCGGCACCATGCATTACCCAAACACCAGAGTAGTACACTACTGCTGCTACTCAAATCACTAGTATTCTTCCACCATACTTCCAATCACTGTTGCCAGAGAAGCCATGGATTGCGACAAGAGCTTTGCGTCTCGTCACATGCTCTTGAAGCCTGATGATATGAAAGTATCTCATTTGTTTAACCTCTTGATCGACGGGGACATGACGAATAAGAGCTTTGTCGAAAGCTCCGAGCCTAGAGTTGAAAACATTATGCACC